AATTATTTTAAATCTGCGGAGGGAAATAATAGCTGTACCCAAAATACATATACTGAACTGATATTATTTCTCATACAGCTCCAACATGATTGTTCAAAGCATTGGAAATTCATTGATGGTCATTTTACCAGATCTAGTTGGAAAACGGATTACTAATTGGTTTGATCTTGTTAGACCCTTAATAGCTTTTAAATTTCAAACGGTAAATATTTTATAAATATTTAAAAAATTAAAAAAAAAATTACGACAAACATTTTTGAAATAGATTTTGAATCGAACGAATAATATTTTTGAGCTTGTTACTGTTCAACCAGTGCTTTCAAATCGACCAACAGACAGACACGTTATTCTAAGCGATGAATCCTATTTTTCTCCAGAAGAAAACAARCTTCGATTAAAAGGTATAAATCATAAATTACACGTAGGTATTAATAAGTTTTTTTTTTAATTTTTTGTTATGTTTTTAAAAATATTATTTGATTAGTAAAATTATCATTAAATAATCACAACTCTTCATTATCTTAGGGCAAATGATTTATATGGACAATTGGCAAATGATGATGTACTTGGGTACGCCCGTGATGCCTGATCTCAATGCATTAGTAACTACTGGTCTATACATTAATGATCTCTCAATGCACGATTTCAGCAGGTTGGTTGCAAACATAATAATTAATTGAAAACTTTCCGTTCACCTATTTCATTTTTGTCAATAAATCTGTACACGATGGCTGATTACTAAGGTACACGTGTATTACAATACAAGTTGATGGGTGCTCGTTTTGTTTCTGTTTTACCCTAGGGACCTAATGTTGGCAGGGACACAACAGTCAGTTGAATTAAAGCTGGCACTAGACCAAGAGCAGTTAAAGTCAAAAAAACTGGAAGAGTCGATGCGGAAACTAGATGAAGAAATGAAGCGTACTGATGAGCTGCTATATCAGATGATACCTAAACAAGTGGCCGATCGACTGMGGTCGGGTGAAAATCCCATAGACACATGCCAAGTAAGTCTTTAAAAATGAATTGATTATAACAGTACATAAATCATTTTTTAGATGTTTGACAGCGTGTCCATATTATTTTCGGACATAGTCACGTTTACCGAGATATGTAGCAGAATCACTCCAATGGAAGTGGTTTCAATGCTGAACGCCATGTATTCTATATTCGACACACTAACAGAACGAAACAAAGTTTATAAGGTTGAATATTAACGAATACTACGTTATAACATATATTATTCATGCTTACTTAATGCATTGTAATATATCGCATGAATTAAAAAAAAACATTTTCAGGTTGAAACTATTGGTGATGCGTATATGGTTGTTTCGGGTGCACCAATGACTGAAGATAACCACGCAGAGAAAGTTTGTGATATGGCATTGGATATGGTCGATGCAATTACAGATCTAAAAGATCCATCGACGGGTAATTTATTGTTTTTCAAATACACACACACACACACACACACACCTTAAGTTTCTGTCGATATCTCTACGATATCCTTTAAAAGTAAATTTAATTAAAAATAAAATCGTCTATATATTTTATAGGGTCTCATTTGCAAATCCGCGTCGGTGTGCACTCCGGAGCAGTGGTAGCTGGTATCGTTGGTTTGAAGATGCCGAGGTACTGTTTGTTCGGTGATTCAGTCAACACTGCGTCCCGAATGGAATCTACAAGCGAAGCTATGAAAATTCATATATCACAAACCACCAGGGATCTAATTTCGGCATCGTATATGGTTAAAGAACGCGGTGAGATTTACGTAAAAGGAAAAGGTAAGGACCGCCATTGCTGTGGTCCTGATGTGGTCTGTTTTGATTCGGAAATTTTTTTTCAGGCGCAATGAAAACATATTGGTTGGAACACCGGGAAAGCCGACCTCCATTAAGTCGGGTGCTGCCACTGGCTAAYTCCGATGTACCAGAGTTGGAGTGGGAGCGTAGTGCCGATGCTGTATTAGACATTGTGGAACGCAACACAGACATGAACATGCAATTGGCGGAAGACAGGATTAGAACATACTCACCGGTAACATTTCAAGAAGTGGCTAGACACTCGATATCGCGTTCACCAGTAAGAGAATATTACCGAGGTTTGTACAATTATTCATCATATGTTCATACATGTTAATATGATCTCAAAATAATATTTTAGTATATTATACTTTACAGTTCTTTCAACACTAATCAGTTGTTTAAATACAAAAAATTATGTGTACCTATATACAAACAAATCAGTTTATTTTAAATAAAAAGCTTAACATTTTAAGATAGAGTATAATACATTTAAGGAAACGTAAAAAAAAAAAAAAATTGAATTTATATTATTTCATTGAATTCAATTTCTAGCGTTAAATGTAATGAGTTTCTTTATAATATATTATATGTTACACGAAATATTGATTATTATTGTTTTCAATCTATTAATCTAGTACCTAACTAAGGTTTAAATAATCTATAGAAAAAATACAAGTTTATTGTTTAAATAAAATAATTACTTGAATAAAAGATAGAACAAAAAAACCGATTCTAATTAGATAAGAATAAATGAAAATTATAAAATRAAAAAATCAGATAATATTTTCGAATACAACAATGGTAGATTAAAAAACCCTTTAATGCATGATATATTTTATTATAACATATTAAAGAAAATAATAATCTTAAATTGTAAAGTATAAAAAATGTCTCATTTTTACCATTCACAAAACAAAGCTATAATTTTTGCAATTAAAACAACAAAATTTAATACTTTTTTAAAACTGATATGAAGATTGAAATATAAAATATAGAAGATAATATTATAAACCTTTTTTTTTCTTTACGGACATACATGTTTAGAAGCTAAGGTCACAGGTGTCTGAATGATATAATATTTTACAATAGAATAATATTTGCTGTGCTTTGATTATTCGTAAACCATATAACGTTTTGAAAGTTTTTATTGTATTTTATTCATATGGATTGAATCGCTATTTTTTTTTATTGTAAAAAAAAATAAATATTATCTTGACTACAAAACGGAGATTCATCGATAACAATTATAATTTATTTCATTTGTAGGTTACGTTATTCTTTCAAATATTATCTCAACAATGTTTCGTTGATTGATTCTAATAGAATATTGATAACACCTACTATTACACACAGATTTGTGATATATTATGCCATTCATCACATTAATGTATCTGTCRCATCCACATAGTGAAACCACTCATTCCATGAAATGGATATCCAGATGGTGAAATTTATCCAGTTCATGAATTTTGATGAAAATACATTATTTGGACATCCGTTTCATAAAATGGATAATACCTATATTTCGCACTTTATGTAATTATTATAAAACAAGATATTTATTTTATTATATCATATTACTATAAATATAATATAGATACTTTTCTATATTAATTGTGCTATTAATAAAAATATAATAATTATAGTCAATAAACTATATCATATTAGTTTTTATTTTTATTTTATTTTTCATAAACTATACGCATATTTATTATATAGACGACTAACTGTATTATACTTATATAACATAGGTACTTTTCAGTATAAATAAAGATAATAATGGCTTATCCRTGATCTATATTTCATGAGAGAGATATTAAATTTAATTTCGGTAATTCCACATCAGATATCAGGTGTRCTTGTTTTAAAAATAATATGCAATGGAACAGTCGATGTCATAATCGTCATGCAAAAATAAATAATAAGGAAAACAATGTATAGGTATACTTTAAGCCGTTTAAGGTATGTTTAAGTTAATCAATTAATTATTTTGTTAATAAAACAATAGGTAGTTGAATATTATAATAAATTATAGTTAATTTCATGAATATTTTATAACAATTAATATAGGACATAGCCACATAGGTAACACTGTTGTTTATAAAAATATATAATATACGCATAGTTTTTGAAAAATAAAATAAAAATATATGATGTAATATGATATAATTTATTGACTATAGTAAAATTGTTATATTTTTGCTTATAGAACAATATAAAAAATTACCTATATAGTTATAATAAAATAATAATTATACAAATTACACAATATAGGAATTATCCGTTTCATGAAATGGATGTCCAATAATAATGTATTTTCGGCAAAATTCATGAACTGGACAAATTTCAATATCTGGATATCCAGTTCATGAAATCAGTGTTTTCGATATGGGGATGCAGCATATCCAAAGTAAAAATTTAAGAGTTATTTAATTTAATTATTTTGGAAATATATACTCATTTTATGTAATCAATAATAAAACATTGTTTAATACTAATAATAATATAACTTGAAACACTTTATAATATATAGAATACATTGTAAACAATAAGACAAGTACTATATTATGTTTTACATATTATTGAGATTATTTAAAGCACCTACTTTATTTTATTTAATGCACCTATGTCCTATACTGTACTTTAGAATAATAATAATAAAAATAAAACATAATAATAATATTAAGTTCGCGTTTTATATTAGCATAAAAATAACATAAAATATATTTTCATACGAGTTGAAAAATGAAAATGTACCATAGGTACCTAAGCGTTTTAAAAAAACTCTTAAGTAATTATTATAATTGTGTTTGTATTAAGAAACATATTTTAAACAAAGAAAAAAATTTTGAACATTTATCTGTCTCTCATAATATTATGAAATCTGCTACAAATATACCTACTCTAACAATTTACGAAATACGAGTAGGTAGTTTATAAATAATTAATCATCATAATAGTTCTGAATACCCAAATAATTATCATATTGGTTTTTGGTATGATGATTTATGATGTTAGAAAAATATATTATAATAACTAAAAATATTAATTAAGTACTTAAATATAGTTTATAACGGACAGTAAATTAACTAATAAATTGTACACATATTTTATATTTTATACAAAAGTATAATTASACTGGGATATTGTATTTTTCAAATAATTAATTTAGATTTTATTTACTCAAAAAGTATGTTTAAATATTATACCTTTTTAAATTAATAATTTATATAWAAGATTATTATTAAATCATATTATAATATTACATTGAACTGTACAAATTAACTATACAAAACAATGATTTTCTCAAGAAAAATGTGATGTTAAAAAAAATCTTTAGAGAACTTGATGCACATAATAAAACATTTATAACGAAAGTGCACTGTATAAATAGTTAACATCAAAAATCAAGACGAAGTTCGTAGTTTTTTACTTGTATGCATTAAGGTTTCTACCTACTRAAACTAAAAATGTAACTCCTGCTATATTATCTACCATTTTCAGATCTATTCAAGTAAAATGCTTGTAAATTGTAAAAAATAAAAAATAAAATGATAAAAAMAATAAWTGTTTTCTCCTTAAAATAAATAGGACAATTAAATGTAACTGTCCTAGAGACGTTTCTATAGAAAAAAATAATTAACCATTGTAAATGGTTTCAGAGTCCAGGTCAAACTCAATAAGCTGCACACCCATCGTTTCACAGAAAGAGCTGCAACGATTGACGTGTCTGAATAGAAGTTCGTCACCGCTGTCACGGTTCACAAGGAAAATCGAACAGTTACCAAAGCCGGATTCCACTTCGGCTATGATTGCCGTCGTCGCCGTCCAGAGACACAGATTCGTGAGAAATGCGGGTGCTGGTCGSGGTGGTACTCAGACAGCTCCGTCATCACCAGAGGCGCACAAGGAAGAGGATACGTTGGCCGAGTCATCGCCGATACATCCGGTGGAACTATCACCATCGGTATCAGCGCGATCACCGTCCCCACCTCCTCCACCACCGCCTCCACCATCGCCGCCACCACCGACGACGACTAAGTCCAATCCCGTTTTGGTGCATGTGGCTGATTACGTTTCGTCCGATTGTGTGGACAGCGTTGATTCGGATGATCAGCGATCACTACACACCAGTGAGATTGATCTCGGTGGATCAGACGTCGAGGGGTCTGACGACCACCCTCATCCTTTCCCGGAATCTTCCGATGACGATCTACCCCCAGACGAYGATGACGACGACAATGACGATTTAGACCTATCTTCGGTTGGTCCGACCACTCCACTACCTCCTTTGTCGTCGCCGTCAGCTTCGCTAACCGATGTTCGAGCGGTGACCACATCCAAGTCCGACGGGCAGATATACGGACGGCGACGTGATGAACTAGATGACGATGCGAGTACGTCTAGCCTTAACAGACAGACCCAGTGTTGCATTAGATTCAAAACACATCCAAAGTCATCAAGGAAGCGATCGCAATCCCATTCTTGCAAGTTGATCTAATCGTATACGTCACCTGAATTTAATCGTGTATATATTTATAAATATAATATTCATAATAACTGCTTTTCAATTTACAAGTGCTGTTGTTTTATAGTTACAATATCATTATTACGGCCCAAATTCTGCAATTTTCTTTTTGTTATTCAAATTTAGACTAATTATGGTAACCAAGCGGATTAGTAAAAATAAAATAATCATATGTTTTATCACCACTGAATATTACACAATTTAGCAAAAATCATATTGTAATTCAATTATAATATGCATTTTGATTGGTGGTTGAATTATTTTATGTTGTTTATAAAAACGTGTTTAATTATTACCACCAATAAATTGTCCAAAATATTGAATAAATGCAAAATAAAATTATCAAATATTATATCGCATGAATGCCATACCTACGACAGACCAGCCCCTATTTTACTGTTTATKTGTAGCACAAATAAAAAAAGTGTGTGATAAACATTCATAAATTTAAATTTGCCAAATATTTTCCAAAATAGCATGCTCTCTCCAAATCTTCAAAATGAACAGAAAAATTATGCAGAATGTTTTTTTTTTTTTGTAGGGGTGGTGGGTGGGTGAGAGGAAGGTTTGGATATAATAGCTTAAATCTATGGTTAATTCTTATAACGGTTTAAGGTTAACCATTGTTGTAGATGACAAGTCATCATCGCTTGTAGATATTTAATCAGTGGAACTTTTTTGTTGTGTTTCTGTGTGTGATAAGACTTAAATATTATTTGTATAATAAATTATTACTTGTATACAATCAATTTCAAGTTATAAGTCAATTTTATTCAACCACGWATAGTGTAATATTTCAAAAGACTTTTTTGATATACAGTGGTCGCCGCTTATTGGATTCACGGTTAATTGACTCATTCGCCTATCAGACTCAAAACGGCTGGTCCCGATCGCACATAAACTAACACATAACAAAAAATTCGTCTATTCGACTCACAAAACAATTAATTGGGTCATTTGAAAATTAGATAAATAAAGAAAATATGCACATACATTGAACAAACGTGTTATAAATAAGCTGGTACCTTTTATCTATTTTATGATTATGAAGTTGGCCGAAGAAGGGAAAATCCAATCAAAATTAGATGGATTTTTATCAAAAAATTAATTTATTTTATTAATTATGACGTATGTATTTTATTAATTTTATTTTATTTTTAATTGCGTATAGCTAGATTTTTATTTTTATACATACCTTGAATTTCAATACATATTTTTAAATAAATACGTTTTTAAATTTAAGCATTTTTTTGAGCCATTTGCCTTATTGACCCATTCGGTTAATCGACTCAAATTGTCGGGTTCCTAAGTGAGTCCAATAAGCGGTGACCACTGTAATACACAAGTATTTCTCAGAAAAAAATTGTACTTAGTATTAAATTGTATTTTTTTTATATATATATACTTTTAATCACTCTTGGCTGATTATGTTCCTAAATTTTTTTTTTAAATTTATTTAATATGACATGTAGTAATATTTTCGAGATTAAAAAAACCTATATACCTTTTAAGGTTTTAAGATTTACGTTTTTCCGTTAAAATTGACAAGCTTCTAATAACCCCACTTGGGACGAATATAATATAGCTACCTATAATGAGCAATATTTTAACTGGAACTGAATTTACTTTCAATCTCTCCCAATAGACCATATTCACACTTTTCAAGTAGTTTTCTCATAAGTAGTGGTTTAGGTATCATATAAATATATTMTAATCTATTGATTATAATATCATGTAGTTTTTTACAACAACTTGCTTATATTTGAATAAATAATAACTTTCGATTGACTGTATTTTCTTATTTTAACGATCAATTGTTTTTATTTCGACAGTTGTYTCTCATAATCAATTCCAGATTCCATATGTTTGTTTTGTGTTMAATTTAATAGGTACGATCCCTATTCATAATCATAAATTAATCTAAATAAATAGTTTGATATTTAATACTCATCTATTATACCTGTTAATGCCATTCAATGAGCTTACGAGTTCCATTGAATCAATTAAATAAACTAACTGGCAATCTTTAACATTTGAATTCGTTCATTCATCGTTCATAAACTTATCTTAGATTAATTATCTTATTTTAATTAATGGTATCTAGTTGGAATAGTTATTTAAAATTATATAGTTCTTACATTTGAAAAAATTACTTTTSTATACATTATGAATTTTATGAGTCAAGTTAATACTACTTCTAATTCTTTTTTTAAGGTTTTTTAAATATATCCCCTTTGTCCATTTATTTTTTCAACATTACATAGGTTGAATCAAATTTGTATTTATAAACTAGCATAATTGTATTGACACAAACGAAATTATTTTATTATCTAATTAATTTCTTTTTTTATTTAATGTGATATATATCTAACACCCATGTACAATATTTAAATGTGTGTGCATATATTATACGTAATTATTAAATACCTATCTATTTTAATTAAAATATGGTAAGAATCTTTAATTGTATCAAATGCATATTATAGTTCTCCATAGGTACATTGCATTAGTACTTATATTAGATATTACGTACCTACTTAACAGTATTAAGTACGTATAATTATATTTACTTATACGTTTATGAACGTTTATTGATGTCATATTATCATATGAGCTATTACATTAAGAATTCATCATTGTTTATTTGTCTGTCCCTATGGAAATTGAAAACCACCCAACATCACTTGTCACAGTTATTGTATTTTGAATGAATTATGACCAATGCGTGTAAATCATTAATGTTATTATGATTTCAAGCTATACATGCTAAAAGCAGCGTGCTAATTGATTGTTAATTAATATTTTGTGTACATAATATAAACAATTGCAAATCCACGAAAAAACTATAAATGTAATTATGTTTTATCAATAATATCAACACTTTAATAATATAATATTTTCCGATATTTTATGAAATACTTTCATAAACCTTATTTAATATATATATAATAGATACATAATTTATAAATAAATATATATTACTATATATGAATAATTTCATAAATACATATTATATTCGTAGTCTCAATGAACGCTTTTGATATATTACAAAAATTTTATTCACTTTATGAAAATTCAGCAATCTAAGTCTTAAAACTTTATAATTTAATAAYTATACACTTTATAAACTTAATGTTTTATTACCACGTAGGTAACTTTAGATTGTAATATTAAGTAGGTATGTAGTTATCATACTTATATTAAACGATAGCGTAGTTATCTTATTTTATACCTAAKAATTCAATTTAACATGTGATATAAATTATACTTATAAAAGATTAAGCTAGTCGTTTTAAGACTACATACATAYGAGTAGTTTGTATTAATTATAAACTTATAATGATTATTAATAAACCRATTTAGAAAATCCATTACATTATTTTCAATTTCAATACTGAAGTTATTTGCATTGTATTTTTCTGCGAATTTTTAATGTTTACGAACGTTTTTAAACGTTAAATAGTTCATGGTTTGAATTAGTCCAACGATATTTCAGTTAAATTATAGATTTCTAAATGGTGTCTTGTAAAAAACAATAACTCTTAAAACAAAAAAAAATTAAAATAAGGTTATTAATGTAGTAGTTAAAATAAATAAATATATTTTAATGAAAAAAAAACTAATAACTTTCAAGTGTTCAAAAGCATTTTAATCTGAATCTGAATTGAAATTTCAATTTAATATGAATTAAATAAAATATTTTTAAAGTCACATTTTATTATAACGTTTTAATGTGATTACTGATTGACCACWATGTATATAACATAATGTTGACCTTAATATAATGACAATGTTGATAAACATATTAAATCTAAATAAAATGTATGTGATAGGTACATTAAATTATAATTATGGCTARGATTTATATGCAATAAAAAATTGTAAAATATGCATTTTATTTACCAAAATATGCAAAAATATGCAAAAACAAATTTTTATTATTATTTATTATAATTCATAATTTTTTATTACTTATTATTAGCTCATATTATTACATTAAATATTAGTTTGTTTAGACGTAACTTGGCACTTTTACTTTGAACTTTCGGCATACTGGTCACTGTTATTAAAACCATTCAAATTATTACGTCTGCACATTTACGCAACACACGACGTCCCAATACAATTTTTCTGTGCTATCACACTGTATAACAWTGTGTAAGTAATTCTACCAGTCGTCCGACCAACGATAAGGTAACGAACGGATATTATCTGACCTAAGATAAAATAGGTAGTATTTATGCTATATATTTACAAAAATTCAACGGATAAACCAAAAACTGTCGACTTCGTGAAGTACCATTTAAAATTAACGATAACTTATAAAAATTAAAAATGTTAGTTAAAAAATATCGAATTCTAAAAAAATCTATGAATATGCAATTATATGCATTATGWCCAAAATATGCAAAAAGATGCAAAAATATGCAAAAAAAAAAATGGTCCTATTTAAACGAGAATAACCCAAATCGTGGACAAATCTGACAACCAATCAATTTGGACTAAAGGAAAAAATCATGCAAATGCACATAAATCCTAGCCCTAATTATAAYAAATGTATTATTTATTAAATAATTTCTATTCGTGTAGTAATTATAAAGATATTTAACCAACCAAAATATCAAAATTCATAGTATAAATAGTTACTATTTTTATATTCATTTGAGTTAAATAGAATTTAATGAAAGATTGCACAAATTAGAATTACTTTACTGTAATATTAATGCCTATAGACTAACTAAATAATAATATGTTATTTCATCAAGTTATATATTTATATTATGGATACGTACTACGTATCTGCCCATTTAATAAGTCATTATTTGAATATGTTTGTATAATATTCAATGCATAAAAAACATAATTATTTCTGTTTTTTGAATAGCCATGGTTAATGTGTTGAAATGTTATTGATAAACATTTTTATAGTATATGTCAGTTTGGATAAATGTCATTTTGCGTGGAAATATAAAATCCATAGTATAACTAATTCAATTTTTATTTCAATAATAAATATCATGTATTACTCCAAACTAATTCATGTATCGTCTTAAAGTATACATATTTATAAATATATATATATAATATAATGTATGTACATAATAAGTCTGCATGAAAAAAAGTATATATACAAGTCATCTATAGGCTAAGGCTAAGAAATAACATGAAACGTCTCCATGTTTTATCAACGTCAGTTCTGTATAAAACATAACTATTACTAAATGTATTTTGTATATATTACATGTTTCTCTGTTAATAAATATAAGGCCCTATAATATTGTATAATTATTAGTGTGATCATATATTTTTTTTTCTTTAATAATTGTAAAGCAAATTACACAAATTTAAAAAAAAAAATATATATGTATAATATAATATCCCTTAATAGTATTTTTTTTCAGTTACTAAATTTAATTATTTGTTTTATGCTGTTATTTTTGAAATAACCATGTAGGTTGCTATATATTATTATAATAAAGCCTAACGCACCATATACGAGTAAC